CTTTCCTGACAAATTTTAACTCATAACCATTTGTACTTCTTATTTTAAGACGATTCTATTTATTTATTGGTCTGGGTGGGAAAATGTCTGGGTGGGAAAATGGTCGCTGAGGAGGGGGGGGGGTCCGTGTTTAAACCCATAAAAACATTGTTTAATTCCGCCCCCCCTGAAATATAAACAGAGATCGATTCTTTTTATGGAAAGTTATGTTTGTGAGAAATCTACTCATAATTTTGCGAAAAGTAGTTTTTTTTTTTTTTTTTTTTTTTTTTTTTAACAACCAGTGGTCTGCCCAGTCTTTGTAGATGGTTCTATTTTTATGAATTTGTAAAAAAACTGACCATGTCTAGGGCCCGCGCTAAAGATTTCAAATTATTAGCCAGTAAATTAGCCAAATATCTAAAGTTCTTGTCAATTTTCGAAAGTCTTCGTCAAATGCAAATCTTAGCAATTTTTATATATATATTTTCTTTCCAGTGGAAAAATCATTCGCCAAAACACAATTTTATTCGTCAAATTTACGATTTTAAAGCATTTGGTGAATGCGTGGCGCGGGCCCCTGCAATGAATACATCACGTCATCGATTTTTTTTTTTTTTTTAATTATTTTTTTTATGAAGACTTTATTTTATGAATGAAATATTTTTCAATGGTTCGTTTTTAACCGTTAAATATTTTTGTGAAAGGTCCATTTTTATTATAAAATAATTTACGGACTCATTGGGTTAGTTATACAGGCACTTATAAAAAAAATGACCTGGTGCATATACTGATTTTTTTGACTATATGGCGTTTTCGTTCTGCATGCCTTGGAACTCGCATAGGTTGGAGGCGATATATGTACATGTGTTCTTCACGTTTATTTACATTTTTCTACGCTATCCCTAGGCAGGACAACGTTGTTTTTGTTGCGTGCATCAATTATTTGACCTTTGCAGAGCGACGCTGTTTCGCTCAAACGGTCATCAGCCTTAGGGGAAAAAAATTATTTTTTTTCCTCCTCCCTCTGTAGTTTGTTCCTAAACACGTTGGAACAAATGTACCTGCTTGTTTGCTAAAAGGTACATTCACTTTTCCGTTCTTTTTCATTGAAAAAATACACTAGGAAGCAGAAATATCGGAAGTGGCCTCCTTTCTTCCTCTGTTAATAAATTCTTCCTTTTTTTAAAAAAAAAAAAGAAATTGAATTGTTATATATTTTTTACTGTTATAAAGGTTCGTTGCTTTAAATTACGATTTAAATCGAATGATTTCTTTTAGGAGAAAGCGTGCAGTTATCAATTTACACTTTTTTATTGATTTTCATAGTTTTAAAATTTAGTGTGAATAAATTGCTGTGTTAATATGTTTGTATTATCAAATTTGCACTAAGGACTTACTGTAAATTAAATTGCAGCATGTTTGAAACGTTGCTTTGAAAATCTTATGATGCTTCTGACTTTTTCAGAATGCAAACCAAGAACAGACTGAGAATTTAGTGCTGTTATTGAATATGGATTTTTAAATTTAAAACAAAGACCCTTGAAATTAATTTTGGAATTTTAAATTTTTTTTTTTTTTGCTGTTTATAACTAATAATTATTTGTTAATTTCGATTCCATTTTTAAGAAATTTTAATCATGCATTTGATTGTAATAAGCAATTTTCAATTTAGTGATATAGTTTAAATTTTTGTTATTATTTTTAATAAAATTTCAGTTGTATCTATATATATATATATTTCACGGCGACAAAGAGAAGTTCTCATTTCTTTTTGGTGTTGGAAGCAAATAATTGAAATATCAAGCGTGTGAGCTGTCATAAGCATGAAAGCGAAAACGTACGTGTTTACTGATTTCTCAATAAAATTTTTTTCCCTCCTAGACAACGAAAGGCTGATGCAAACTGAGCTATAAGTTGAGAATAATTGAATAGTTCATATCTACAAACAAAGTGTTCTATATATTACGTTTTATTTATACTTATGCAAGTTCAATAGCAATTTTATTCATCGCTATTTTGTTATTCACTGAAAAATGAATATTAATCGTTCTGTTAGGCTTTTTAGGTATTAACAAATAAAACAATCATGTTTAAAAAAAAATAGAATGGTAAGTCTTCTTTCTTAAGTTACGTCTTTCATATCTATCGTCAACGCTTTCTTCTGCTGTTCGAACACGTTTTTTTTTTTTTAAACATGATTGTTTTATTTCTGCAACTTTTTCTATTGCATCTCATTTATTTCAATTAAAAAAAATTAATTACTTATTGACGTAAAATTTTAATTTTTTGAAACGAAATTTGTTTTGAAGATATTAACGATAGCTTTACATTCCTAATATTTTACGCTAAATCACTTTTTCCAAATGGGTTTAACCTCGTAGCTAGCGCAGTGAACATGGTTTGCAAAGTTCAAAGAACAAGGGACGGAGCCTTTTAATTTTATTTTATACCCATCGTTGAACAGCCGACCAAATTTTCAGTTTACTACTACCAATATTCAACTCCGCATCCTTGTAATTTTGAACCCAACCCAGAAGACAAGGGAACTCCTGGATCAAGTATTCAGAGAAGATTTGCCTTCACGGAGGACTTTATTGATGGAACTAACCCGCACTGCATGGAGAATAAAACCACCCATGGTTAGTCTGACAGCAAGGGGACTCTAACCCATGATCCTTCTACCACTGAGGATATATTTTACGTCAGCACTGTGGTCGGTGCGGAATTCGAATCAACCAGCCATCGCCGGGATTCGAACCCGGTTCACCTTATTGGAAGGCGAGCTCTCTACCCCCTGAGCCACCACGGCTCGGAGCCTATTAATTATATTTATAAAATTAAACTAAGAATAAACTAGTTCTTAAAGTATCTCTCGATAGTTAAAAAAAAAAAAATTATCGGTGGGCCGCCGCTGTTTTGGGTGTTCAACTTAACGTTACTTTTTTTGTTTTGCTGCGCAGAAATGTTGAAGCTTTGTAGAAAAATATGCAGGAAGTACAATGAAATAAAACAAATTTTACATTCGATATTTAGTTCAAGAATTAACTGTTAGAATCATTAACCACTCAAAAATTATTAACTTGTTGGAAGGGGAAAAAAATACCATGCGGGCTGCAGTACAGGCCTCAGGAATGCAATCACAGTGGTGAAATTTGGTGTACTGAAAGGACCCTATTTGTTAATGAACTAAACACTAAGTATTTTTTCGAAATTCCAATTTGTTCAAAATCCATTGTATTTTTTAATGCTTTTTGTGTATTTTTTTCATTTTTTTCTTTCTTTTTTTCCCCCTTTCGTTACATTTTGCTTCTTTGCGCAAAATCTATGTGATTTGCAAACTTAAAATTACCGAGGTTTGTGGAAAAAATTACAGGGAGTAAAACGGAATTTAAAAAAATAAAGATTCGACCATTTGTTTGAAAATAGACTTAAATTTGTCTGGGAAAAAAAATACCCTATTTGAGCTGAAATGCAACTATATGGAGTTGAAATTTGACTGCTGATAGAGAACTTTCTTTCGAAATTCCAATTTGTTCGAAAGTTATTGCAATTTTCAGTGCTTTTTTCTGATATGTTTTTTGTTTAAAATATTTACTATTAATCCATTGTTGTAGAAAAGTTATTTTTCCCCTCACGTGATCTTTATTTTATAAGCTCGCGCTCGAATTGATGTTTTTTTTCTTCCTTTCTATTATTATTATTTTTTTAATTCACCTATTTGTATTTTATGCTCGACTAGACAAGACATGACTGCTAACAACATTGACGAAGCATTGTGTTTTAAATGTATGTTAAAAAATAAAAAAAATATTGAAGAGTATTTACTATCAAGAATATTTACTAACATTCCTTAAATAAATTTTTAAAAATTTCTCAATAAAGAGCGATAATAACCATTTCCTGCTTAAACTATTTTAAGTCTCGTTAACGAATAAAAATATTTCTCATTTATTTATTCTTATTGAATCACTCTTGTTTTCCTTAGGTAAATTTTTTTTTCAATTACAGCTGATTATTTTTCAAATCTAGATAATCGTCTATTTCATTACGATAAACAAAGTAGCAAAATGCTCTTACATAAAGCTACAATAATTGTTTATTTTTAAAACGAAACGTTCTGTTTTTGTGGAAAATATTTACTTTTTTTAAAAAAAAAGTAGCGAATGAAGCAATTACGGGGTTAATGAGCAAAAAACTAAACCTCTTAATATTTTTTTTTTTTTTAAAGAGCTAAAAATGCGTTTTAAATATAAAAAATCTGATTTAAATCGAATGAATCGGATTTTTGTTTATTATTTTTTTAAAGATGCAAAAACAATTCACGAACCTTGACTGTTAAAAACTCTTAGACCACGTCACTGAATTACTCCAATGATTGCTTCACAAACATTTTAGCTTCTTGAAAAGAAACAAATTTATAAATCAACATTAAAAACTGTTTAATCAAAATATCCCAAAATGTTTAATTGTATTTAAGCACGTTTGGTTTCACTGGATCTTGTTTCGATTCTGTTGTGATCAAATTTAAGCTTAATTATTTTGCTTTGATCTCCATTGCAACGTCATCCGCAAATTTATTTTTTTAAAATTCGTATTTATTTATCGTTATTTTTTTACTCGTTATTTTAATAGCATTTGTTAATTGAACGCAGTTTTATATCGTTTTATTATAAAACGATAATTAAATATTTTTTATCTTAAAGTGTTGCATAATTATCAATTACTGTATTACATAATAAAGAGAGTATAACATAATAACAGATTGTGATGAATAAACTTAGTTTAGCTAGATATTTTGAAATCCTGAAGGGTTAAAAACCATTGATAGCCACAGGATTGATGGGTAATCTCTTCAAAATAAAGCCTTAGGCTGACATTCCACTGATGATGAGAAATAAAAAATTTTTGAAAAAAGTGAATTTAACATAGAATTTTTACAGGTTTTTTTGTCTACCTAGTTTTTCGAAAAATTTTTTCCTCATAAAATATAAAGAAATTTTCTTTTCTTCTTTTTTTAGGTTTCTGATGAATCTCTAACAAGAGTTATAAAATTATTGAAATTGACCCTCACATGGAAGTTGGTCTGCGTGTTGTGAGGGGGCCTGACTGGAAATGGGGTACTCAAGATGACGGAGAAGGCCATGTCGGTACTGTGGTGGAGATCGGTAAGCCCGGAAGCACCACCTCTCCCGACAAAACGGTGGTCGTGCAATGGGATTCAGGCTCTCGCACAAATTACAGGGTGGGCTACCAATCGGCCTTTGACTTGCGCATTCTAGATAATGCACCACTAGGTAAGTTGTTTTCTATGTTTCATGTCTAATACTGGGTGTCCCAAATAATGACTGATCAGTTGTAGGAAAATGTAATGATACAGAAATGTCAACAAATCTCACATGCGTCTGATATTTTACCTGACTTTTTAATTCTAAGAAAAGTAGTTATAAACTTATGAATGAGCATTTGGCGAGATAGACTGCTTATATTTTATCAGCATTTAAGGTGTATTAATCGTCAAAGATGAAAAGGAGAAGAGCCAAATTAAAACTTAAATAAAATTTAAGCAATATAGTCGTAAGTTGCATCATGCGGGATCCCAGATGTCCAGCATAAAGAAAGATGACAAAGTAAAAAAGCGAAAGATCAAACTTTTGCAGTGGATAGTTGACTGAATGTAAACAACTGCAAGCTTCCTAAAACCGGAAGAAATGTAGAAAACTTCCGGTGTATCCCTCCGCTTATGTTTTGCTTACGAAGCGATGTGTGAACAGGCTTAATATTCTACTAAGTTTAATTATTTGGATTTATGTTTAAATTTACTCGCGTAATTTTACAATTTATACGAGTTTTCTGTAATTTATAAATTCTAACAAGCTGTAAGCCTAAAACAAATTTAACAAAATTAATATCACTGCTTAAAAAAAATTTTTAAGGTTACCCATGTTTTCAGAGTTATTCCTAGATCCTGATGGATTGAGAATCCTCGAGCCCGATGGATTTTGTTTTTAAAAAAACTGACCTTATTTTTGTAAATGTATATTTTTATTATAATAAACACAGCTCGCACACCCTGGAATGTGAAAGTCGGAGGAAACTACTGCGAAAGTCGGAGGAAACTGTAATTTTACCCCAGAACCTGGAACTGTCTGGAAATTTTTCACCCTACCAACTCGTTAAAAGCTATTTGGTATATTGGTAAAAAACATGGTATTTCAAGCTTTTGTTTGCGCAAAATAATTAAAAATAATCGTATCAATTGCTAAATGAACTATCACTTTCTTTTAAGATTATTGCGAAATTCTTTTGTGCTTTCTGGAGATGAGAGACAGCAATTAGATTTGTCATTAAANAAAAAAAAAAAAAAAAAAAAAAAAAAAAAAAACTTTTGCCTTGACTTTTAGAACGGTGGTAGACAGTAATGACAAATCTAATTGCTGTCGTTTTACATATTTCTAATTTAGCGTTTTACATATTGAGCCTAATTTCTGTCGATTCCAAGGGCAAATTTAAAATCGTGAGGAAATTTTGTTTTTGCTATTTTCTGAGCTGATGATGCTAAACCATTACCGTCGTGTTGCGAAGCTGACGGTATTTTATTTGTAGATCACTACCGCCATTCTTGAAATCAAAGTTTTTCATCTGGATTTAAGACATCACTTTTTCATTTCTTTTCTTCATTTCATGAAGATAAAATGAAATTTTCATCTGAGGGACTGTGTACTAATTGCACATAGTTTTGGTAACTACTTGTGTGTGCGTATACTATATTTTACCAAAATTTTAACTTTTAGAAATTTCAGTACTCGTTTTTTTTTTTTTTTTTTTTTTTTTTTTTTTTTTTTTTTTTTTTTTTTTTTNTTTTTTTTTTTTTTTTTTTTTTTTTTTTTTGGAGAGCAAAAAAATAAAAAGCATTTTTTTCCCATCAATATGTAATTTCCATATTATATCATTTAAAAGAAAGACAATGTTTCTACTGTCATCAAGGATTTATTAGAATTATATGCTACTTCTGTTTCCGTGCTGACTTAAAGAGATCAATTTTTGTATGTATTTATTTTGTTATTAAAAAAATTAGTTTTATGGAACTTTTCTTTGTGGAAATATAATTTTTAAGACTTTTGAATGTTTTAAAACTGTTTTTAAAGCTTTTTGGTTAACTTGGACTAAACTATTAAAAAAGTACTTCTTCTTTTATTGGCATGCTTTTGTGGGCCAGAGCCTTTTCTAGAACCTTTCTCCATTCTCCGTTTTTTTTTGTTTTTTTTTTGCACTTGTTCTCCTGTTAGTAATTCTTATGATTTTAAAAACTTCTTCCGCACAGTCAGGTCATCTGATCTTAGGCCTACCTCTAATTAAAAAAATACTTAAAATCCATTAAAATTTAGTTAAAAAAATTTCATAAAATTTATTTTAATGAGTAAACTACACCAAAAAATAATAATTAGTGAGCAAATAATAAGGAATATATATAAAGAGAAAAATTACTTTCCTCTGTTCTTTCAGTTCACATCCAAAAATTTGGTTTGACTTTCTCTAAATAGTAAATATGATTTTAAAAAAATATTTTTCATCGATTCACCCAGATATTTGTTATATTTTAGTATTAGACTTTAGTATTAGAAAATATGTATAAATAATATTTAGACTTTGAAGGAATCGGTAAGTGTTCAGAAATTTGTGATATCATAGCTCAAATATGAAGGGGGAAAAATGTTTTCTAAATGTTTGTAGGGGTGAAACATCCTAATATTATCTGTGACTCTTGCCGTAAGCAAGGCATTGCTGGGATGAGATGGAAATGCACTCGCTGCTTTGATTTTGACCTGTGTACTCAATGCTACATGTCTGACAAACATGATCTCACTCATCCTTTTTTGAGACTTGAAACTGCTGCATCATCTGGGTAAGTCTTTAATTTTTTTTATATAGACAAATTCATTAATTGTACATAGCTGCCAACTCTGGCCGGGATAGTTTGATTGGCAGGGAGCTGGACTCACGCTTGTGAGAATGGGAGTCCGAGTAGCCGGCCGAAGACTCCCCTCGTAGTATAAGTGGTGACTGGTGCATGTTAAATATGTTGGGTCACAAAGTCCTCTATGTTTCCATCACAAATCAATTCATTTGGAGGTATTGAATTGGAGATTTGATCGTTCTCTGGTTCAGGTCAAAATGACAATCTGTGGGCTAATGAATGGATGTAAGAATGGGTCTGCTCTATAAACGGGTGTCACGTATGGGTGTGTCAGAAGTTGAATTCTTGGCTATAGATGGCGCCGCTAGAAAATAAGGAAATCGCTCCCCCTCTGCCTTATTGGCGGACGACGACAACATCAGCTGGCCAACTCTACTGGATTTTGCCAGTTTCTCCTGATCTACTTCTTTAATAAAAATTTTCCTTGTTTTTGTACATTTTAGAAAATTTCCTAAAATTGAGTAAGTTTCCTTAAAAAAATCCCTATTGAAATAGAATTTTTGTGCAGATAATTGCTTGCTTGAATAAATTAGTGTTTCTAATACATAGGGTTTCTAATACATAGGGAAGCAAGCCTCACAGCCTCATTTATAAAATTCAGTTAACTATCTTTGATAAATTAAATGCCATTACTATTCAAAATTATGAATAAACGTAATGCATAACATTTCAAGATCATTTAATTTGAAATCATAACTGGAAAATTTTGCAGTTTTTCTGTTTTAATGACTATAAAAAATACCTAAAATTTCCTATATGTAAAATATTTAGTATATTTTGCAAGAATATCGTGAAATTTATCTTATTTTGTAAAATCTGCTAGATTGTTTTCTATCCGTGTTGGCAGCTATGAAATAAATTGATTTAAATCAATATAACCTTTGTTTTCAAACCATGCTGAGAATCATAAATTGCTGTTTCATGTCAAATGAATTCATTTATTTATTTTATTTTACTTCATTTTTCTTTAATATAACTTTGATTATAATGTGTTTATTTTATGTTGTGATGATTCTGATTTTCAATTTCATTAAATTATATATTAAAATCTGCATATGTAAAAAAGAATGTTTTTTTTGATATTTTAGTGTAGAGATGCCGAAGCGACAAGGTGCTGCACGTCTGCAAATGAAGGGGATATTCGTGAATGCTAAAGTCGTTAGAGGTCCAGATTGGGATTGGGGCAATCAAGATGGTAAATGAAAAATCTATCTTTCAAATATTTTTATTATATAATAACTTGTAGTCATTACTAAAAAAGTGTACTACATATCAGGGATGATTGTATTTCGGGAATAATATGGAATTTCGGGGTTTTCCTGTCATTTTTCAGGATCTAAAAACTTGAAGCTGATTTTCCCACGAATATTCACAAAATTCCTCTAATCTCAGGAAAATTGGTTCGCAAAATTCCGCTAATCTCAAGAAAATTGGTTCGCAAACTACCACAAATTGAAAATTTACATTCTGAAGAAATTTTAAAACTTTTGACATTTGTGATTCTTTTGGTTTATGGAATTTTTGGTTGCGCCAGTACCTGCTAATATCGTTATACTTATGCACACGATTATATCAAACAATGATTTTCGTATTTACCTAATTTAAAAGTTATGCGTTGTGAGTTGTATTCACAGGTGTTTAAAATCCACGATTTGTCTCCGCTTGATTGTAATATAAAACATTGAATTTTGTATTTGATTTAAAAACTATACATTGTGACTCAAATTTAGGTGATTTAAAAATTCGATGTCGAAATTTTTATTTCTTCGTTTTTAAAATCCAATATTGCAATTCATATTCATACGATTTTAAAATCCAATATCTCGATTCTTGTAAGAAGTAAGTTTTTTCTTGACTTAAATACTATAAAAGTGTGAAGTTCTTCAATATTGGGTAATTTAATTATAAACGCTAGTTCAAAAAATTATGTAAAATATGAATAATGATTGGTATATAAATTGATAATTTACACATAAAATTTTCATTTTTTTTTCACTTTGTCACAAACATCCCTGATGTATGTAGATAAAATATTTTAGATGACAATGGATATATGGTAAAATGTATAATAAGACGTAATTCAGTCAGTTGAACAATTCATGTTATCAGCCCACCACCCAAACTTGGCCTAGCTCAGGCATGGCAATGTTATCTAAAAAATACCACAGCCAACTATGCGACAGATTTTGACCTTAGTCAAATGGCATACTTTTGCTTCAGTTGGCACCCTTCTCTCCAAACTTCTACACAATAACCAATGAAAGGGCTCTTAGCCAAAACAGATTTAATATGCACCTTGCTGCGTATACACACCGGTCGTTTAGACGACTGCCAGGATCTACACAACAACCAAGTATCTCCTCCAGCAGGGTTATTGACTGTGTTGCCTAAGCATTACAGTTAAATGGCATTGAACTTTACATTTATTTTTCCATCGCAAATGTAAACTAGTAGAACACAAAAAGATCAAGTACCTGGCTGATGAAGTTATCGCCATTTCAAAAATGTGTGTATTTTATTTGTTCTCATACTTAACATTTTTTTGCTGTTTTTATCAACCATTTCTGTATTTTTCTGATTCATTTGCAGGTGGTGAGGGCAAAACAGGGAAAGTGTTGGACATCAGAGGTTGGGACAATGAATCGGAAAGAAGTGTTGCTAATGTTACCTGGTCATCCGGATCAACAAATGTTTATAGGTTAGGCCATAAAGGAAAGGTTGATTTAAAATATACACAGGATGCAGTGGCTGGATATTACTATAGAGATCATCTTCCTATACTTGGTAACTTACAGTAGTTCTTCTCCTTTCATATCATGTTTGTTTTTTAAAAAAGCCTGAAAAATAGATACAATTTAAGAAATTTTCAACAAAAAAAAATGTTTTTTTTTTTCAAAACAAAATTTATTTTTACCTGAATGTATTTCAGAAACTATTTTTTGACATAGTTACCACCATTGTTCAGATATTTGTCATAGCAAAAAACCAACTAGTTTATACCCTTTTCAAAGAAAGATTTCCAGGAGAGACAACCACAGGTAAACGATGCACACTGCAGAGTTGAGATACTTAAGATTTCCATTAAAAAAACCGCAATCCGCTTTTTTCTCCCAATTTTTAAAATTTCCGACAATTTTCCAGAAATGTAATTTATTGGGGTCCAATTATTGATCCCCCCCATAACTGCCAAAACCCAAGCCACTTGAATGATAGCCTTACTTCAGATGAACTTTTTTTCCTCTGTAGTAGACTCCTGAGAAAGTATGATAATCTGTAAAAATGGGTGGAGCTTCAGCAGGTTCACCTGTTTTCGGTAGATGAATGTAGTTTAATGATGGGAGTCAGTTTGATAGACGAAAATAATGTGTGTACGATGGATGTTGCTGAAAAAAATTAATTTAAAGTTTGATTAATTAAATAAAACAGTCACATTTACTACAACTGTTGCTAACAATCTTGAGGTGAAAGCTAGCGACTGTTTTAATTTAAAATGTTTGACTGGCAAATTAATTTAAAACTATCATTATTAAGCCTTATATATTGCTGAGTTTTCTTTAATATAGTAGTGGTGAAAGATCTTATTGATGTCACAGTATTATATAGAACACTCCCCCCTCACCTCATAGTGTCTGCATTGTTGAAGTTCAGCTTTTTTTATTTTTGTCCACTTTCATGCCTGACACTGTTTTTTTTTTGCATTGTTGTTGATTCTTGACAATCACATGTAGAACATTTTTTAAAATTTGAGGAAACTTGTCACAAAACTTTCCTACTGTTAATTGACAATTTTCACGCATTTTCTCTCTCACTTTTGCATCTAAATCTTCATTGACAACAGAAAGTTGCCCACATAGTATGAATATTGGTGTTTCCATAATTGAATAGTTGAACACTCTTTCTCACCATTCTGTAACCCTTTGCATTTTCTTCATGAATCTCAACAAGTTCACAATAAATTTTGGCTGGCTTAGCATATTTTGTATTCAAAAATCAATAAGGTTTTTAAACACAAGTGGAGAACATAATTCACAATTGTTGGTATCGTCAATCATCTTAAACATTTTGAATGCTCACAGAGGTCCAGAT